TTCTTGTTTCCCACGATATCCCCTGGAAATCCCAACTCCAGCTGAGCTTTGACTCTCCTGGTACCATTCCGCATACACCCAGATGACATTTCTAAATTCCTCCCTTGTAGCCTGTCCCTGCTTCCACCTCTTGTACGCTGCCTTTTGATGTCAGGACCTGCACTGAGAGCACCCTGCTGAGTTAAGCTGGGCTTCTCATAAACCTGCTCATTTTCCTGCGTATCAAGACAGGCTGCTCTCGTGCTTGGAGGGTCCTTAAAGACCTGCGGGCTGCCCAGAGCCACTGTGCCCTGCAGAGCTGCTTCCCGTGGGTTCACACCCACCAGCTCCCTGCGTAAGCCAAACTTTGCTCCTCTGAGGTCCCGGGTCTGTTCTCCACTACTCTTCCTCCTCGTTCCCTTCAAGATCTCCATTATTTCACAGCTACATCCAAGGTTCACAATGACCACATCCCTAATCATTTCTTCCTCACAAGTGAACAGCAGATCCAGGCGTTCCTCACCTCTGGTTGGCTCAGATGGAGAAGGAGCCGGGCAAGAGCCATGCAGTGACCAAACAACAACAGGACAGCGATTACGGCATGGGATCTGTGCAGAGAATCCCATATGGCGGTCAGTGAACGGCAGCAGGAGTCGAATGGGTATTTGTGTAAAGGAGAATGAAATAGGGAGGATAAAAGGAGAGCACAGCTGTACAAAACCTATCAGCACCGCTAGACAAGAAGTCTTCACAGGAGACTGGGGCCCAGGGAGAGCAATGGGAGCCAATGCTAACGACAAGCATTGAAGGAGAAGCCGTTTGGGGTTTCAGAGTTGCACTCTGCTCAGCAATGGAAATGGGGAAAAGCAGAGACTCAGCCATGGAGTCAGAGCCATTTCCAGCCAGGTCCTTGCATCAGAACGGGTGGACAAGGAAGCTGAAGAGACTGAACAGTGAATCACGGTGCCCGGGAAAAAGTGTCATGACCCAGAACTAAAGGAAAGACACGAACCAGAAATGGAGGCACAACTGCCAGAGCTGGGTCACAAAGACCACACCAGAGACCCAGGTCCCCAGCTACGAATGTGAACTTTTCCAAAACTGAACGAGGGTTTCAGGGACTGGAAAACAAGGGAAGTATCCAGAGGTAAGGACAACGGAGCGTGGCAGAGCCTGCTGCACAGACCTGGAGTAAATGCCGAATGCTCTGTAAGAAATGCTAAGCTTCGTTACGTTACAGTATGTCAGCCTGGGCTTACCCGAGTCTTTCTTTTCATTAAAATTTCATCTGAGACAAAAGATATGCAGTACATCCAATCAACTTGCATTTAAGTGAAGCATTTGACATGTAGACATAAAGGGAACCACTACTTAAGACTGAAAAATGGGGATTAGAACAAGAATAATATGTGGTAAAGAACTGGCACGGAAAAAAGGTACTGAGCAGAAAGTACCTCACGGACCATTTCTGAAAGTGATTTTATTGAGATCTTTTCACTGATAGCTCCAGCACAAAAAGGACAAGCACGCCAACAAGACTTAACAATGACAGATCTGGGTGGCACTGTCAATGCAAGGCAGAGGACAGTGCAGAGAATGACAGAATCCCAGACCGTTAGGGATTGGAAGGCACCTCCAAAGCTCACCCAGTCCAATCCCCCTGCCAGAGCAGGAACACCCAGATGAGGTTACACAGGAAGGCGTCCAGGCGGGTTTTCAATGTCTGCAGAGAAGGAGACTCCACAACCTCTCTGGGCAGCCTGGGCCAGTGCTCTGTCACCCTCACTGAGAAGTTTCTTCTCCAATTGAAGTGGAACCTCCTGTGTTCCAGTTTGTGTCCGTTACCCCTTGTCTTATCATTGTTTGTCACTGAGAAGAGCCCGGCTCCATGTTCGTGACACTCACCCTTTAAATATTTATCAACATGAATGAGGTCTCCCCTCAGTCTCCTCTTCTGCAAACTCAAGAGCCCCAGCTCCCTCAGCCGCTCCTCATAAGGGAGATGCTCCACTCCCTTGATCATCTTTGTAGCCCTGCGCTGGACTCTCTCCAGCAGTTCCTGTCCTTCTTGAACTGAGGGGCCCAGAACTGGACGCAATATTCCAAATGTGGTCTCACCAGGGCAGAGTAGAATGTAACAGAATGGGATGAAATACAGCATTACAGAGCACAGGATCACGTTCCTCAGAGTCCACACCCGCAATTCCTGCTCTAACACAAGAATTCATCAGTTGCAAACAACAGAAAGTAGAAATACCTGTATTAGTCAACCACAGAATGACCATGTGCTGTATCAATGTGGTACGGCCATAGGAATAAAATGTGGCCCTGATCTGCACCACTCGCTATTTCCAGATGAGATAAAAAAGGCATTGGTGGCATTGGAGCACTGGTGATACCGGTAATCTGTAACTGTATAGTCCTGGTCTCCTGAGAGGAAGATTTGAAGAGGTTCAAAAGAGGTGAGTTTAACTTGGAACAGCCAGAACAAAGGCCTGTGAGGATCAGAACTGTGGGGAGCCCCTTACCTAGAGAACTAAAGGCACTCACCTTGCTGAGCCTAGCAAAAAGAGAAAAAAAGCTGTTGTATTTGCAGCCCCTCAGAAGGAAGGAGCCTTGAGGAGCCTGACTTGAGGCAGCAACTGCGTGGTGGCTCCACGACAGAGGGAACAGGACTGGATGTGCCAGGAGGTCCCATGCAGCTCCCCCTCCTATCCTCCCACACGTAATAGTTTGCTAGGCTGAACTTTCTCATACGGTTATATCCATGCAGAATTAAATCCTTCTCAAATAGCTGAACC